AATCGGCATTTCTTTCTTTTCTTCTTTCTTTCTTTCTTTAATTATTTAATGTTAAATACAGTCAAAAACTGTATGTGAAGTACTATGAGGGGAAGTGTATATTAGATGTATTTAGTCAAAAAACAGTAAAAACTGTATATGACGTACGGTGAAGAATATCATCTTCGCACGTTTTCCCAACATTTTAATTATAAATAGTTTACGTATGAGTAAAAGTTAAAAGTAAATAAACAAATAAAAATAAAATTTACGAAATCGCAAGATTAGAAACATTTTAAAAACTAGACATTTTTGTTCAGAAGCAAAGCAAGGGACCATCTCAGCATTTGCCCAATGAATCAGGGAAACTGGACAAAAATCTGATCGAGATGGGGTCATTGACCCGGAAGCTAAAGTACATTAGTTTTTACAGGCATATTAAGTATTTTTTAAAACTATTATATAATACAAATGTAAACAAATTCTTTATATATCACTGTCTTGTTAAAATAAACATTATTTTTCTTTTTGATGATTAGTATAGCCTCTAATTGCATAGAAACAGCTATGCAGCAGAAAATATTGTACTTAGAGAATATTATTTTAAAGAATAATGAAGGAGAAAACAGTAGTCTGGAAAAAGTAGCAAATCTCTTTAACCAACACTTTTCTGAATTGCAGCTGAACTCACGAAGGGACTAAAACCGTCAAATTCAATATCATTACTTTCCCAAAAAATTTTCGACACAATTTTTATTTCCGAAACTACTTTTAACGAAATAGTACGAATAGTCAGTAAACTAAAAAATAAATATTAATCTGGTTTAGATGAATTTTGGGATTGTTTATTGAAAACTTGTGAACCTGCCTTTCTACACCCGTTAACTCACATTTTCAATGCTTATTTATGCACAGGAATATTTCCAAATATTTTCTAAACAGCAAAAATAAAGCCACTTTTTTAAAAAGGGTGCAAAATTGAAATTCAGAATTACCGAGCAATTTCTCTTTTGTCAGGTTTCTCTAAAATATTAGAGAGGTTTTTCTATATGCAAATGGAAACTTTTCTCTGGAAAAACGAAGCGTTTTCATTCTCACAACACGGGTTTAGAAAATCAAAATCTACGGAAACTGCCATTTTTTTTAGATGTTGCTTCATCAATGGATCAAAATGAAGCACCCATTGGAATATTTTTAGATCTTTCGAAAGCTTTTGACGTTATTGACCATAACATCTTGTAATCAAAATTACCTTCTTATGGAATACGTGGTATCGCCCTAGATTAGATAACTTCGTACCTTAAACATTGATCTCTAAGATTAGAAATAGCACAAAAGAACATTATTTACTTATCTTTTTGATTCTTTACCAATTGAATATGGGGTCCTGCAAGGTTCGTTCTTATTCTCTTTCTGTTAAACGTAAACGATATGCCCTCGACTATTAAAAACGGAAGAACGGTTCTGTTTGCCGATGATACGAATGTTCTTTGCAAAAAAGAAACAATAAATAGTACGATTTAAAAGTTTCAAATTGTTTTTGTAATTACAAATTAATAGTTAATTAAGGAAGAACAATTTCAATGCATTTTTGCCGTTTAAATCAACAATCGCATGTTCCTTTGAAAATGAATAATAAGCAATTAGGTGATGTCAAGGTAACACAATTACTAGATCTGTCAATTCAGTCAAACCTCAAATGGAATGTAATATAACAAAATTAAACACTAAATTAAGTTCATTATGTTGCGTATTCAGAATTATTTCAAATCCTGTCAGCCTTCATGCAGCTCGTTGCGTGTATTTTGCAAATGTACATTCCCGCCTGAAATATGGTATAAAATTCTGGGAAAACTTATCATGCAGTACCTTTAGATTACAAAAGAAAATTATTCGAATAATGAAAAAATGTCATCCGCGTTGTCCTTGCAAGCCTGTCTTCATTGAGCTTCGAATCTTACCACTGCCTTGCCTTTATAAATATATGCGAAGGTAAATACGAATCTGTAATATTTGTCAGAAGTGACTTACTTAACGGTGGGAACGTATTTTCATGCAATACTGATACTTATAATTACAACACACGTCGTAAAAATCACGGTCATCATGTGTCAGTATCAACAGCTCACTACCAGAAATCCACATACAATACATGTACTTTATAACACACTGCCAGATGACATCAAACAATTGAAGTCTGTTCACAGATTTAAGTTGAAAGTAAAATCTTTTCTGCTACATAACTGTTTCTATACAATTAGAGTCTATACTGATTACCAAAAAGAAAAATAATTTTGATTTTAACAAAACGTGATATATATATTGAATTAGTTTACATTTATATTGTATTTTTTAAAAGACTTAATATGTTTGTAACAAATAATGTACTTCAGCTACCGGGTCAATAACCCCCATCTCGATCAGGTTTTTGTCCAGTTTCCCTGATCTATTGAGAAAATGCTGAGATGGCCCCTTGTTTTGCTTCTGGACATAAATGTAGCTTCACTATCCGCACGTTTTGTTGAACTCTCCTTTTGCTTGTAATGGTAAGAGTAGAGGTAAGGGCGACTTTCTATTTTGTTAGGAATGCAGAAAAATTATACTTGCAATTCGTGTACCGATGCAAATACGTTTTCTATAACTCAGAAACAAAAATGAATAATTTTCAAATATAGCAAATCATGCGATTTTTAAAAATTATTTTTAAATTTTATTTTTATTTATTTATTTTAAACTGTTTCTCATCTTTCAACTATTTATAGCTAAAAAGACGGAAAGGAATTCTGGAACTCAAGAAAACGTGCACAGATAATCTTTTCCCCCCTACGTCACATACAGTTTTTACTGTTTTTTTGGGGGGGGAGCGAATAAATAAAATCAAATCAGATGAACAATTTGCCTTCCGACCGAGACATTCAGCCTCACTACGGGCGCTGGCCCAGCAGATCTCGACTGATCTCTTACTCTCACAGGATGTACCAATCATCTTCCTCGACATGGTACAAGCCTTCGACAAAGTGCCACAGAGAACACTAATCTCCAAACTTAGGTGCTGCCTCCCACAAGATGTAACGAACATGATTTCTCGCAATATTTCCTCATATTTCTACATATTTCCTCGCAAACCGCACATTTGTGGTCAGAGTGGGAAAAGCATGATCCTCAAAGGGCAAGACTCCGTGCTCTCACCACTGTTCTCGCTTTACGTCAATGACATACCACAGACACCGCGAATATGATTATTCCTCTATGCTGATGAAATAGCAGTCCTAGCGAGAGGAATAAACTTAGACCATAAATTACAAACACAACAAAAACAGATGAACCTGAATCTGAAGTGGGCTGGAAAAAAAACACTTGATTTTTTCAGCGGAAAATTCTCAGGCGATCTGCTACTCTCGTCGCAAATACAAACATATAAAGCGGTATACGCCGCCCAAATAACAATAGGAACACAAAAACTTAAATGGGCGCCTTAGGCAACTTACCTGTGCGTCACTTTCGATCGGAGAAACAGGTGGCATTTACATGTCAGACGAATCCGATAGAAACTTCAACAAAGGGTCCGTCTCCTAAAATTCCTCTTAAAGGAACCTTTTCTTCTGTCGGATCTTCGCCTGGCACTCTCTAAAACATGTCGCCGACCTGTGGCCACCTACGCCACATTGACGTGGAGGACTACAGCACAAAAGTACAAGAGTTAATTCAGGTCAGAGTTCTGAGACTCGTAGCTTGCCCTTCATTTCGGAAACGACTTAAAATAATGAAAAAGGAATTTGATATCGTGTCCTTTACTCGAGACGGTTTTCATTCAATGAAGCATATCAAGCCTTTCAATCAAACGAAGCTTCGGCAACACTTAAGCAATTCCATCGACATGTCCTTACCATAGGAAAAAGAAGGCAAGCTCTCCCCTCAGACATATTGTGGGCATAGAGCGAGCACACCCGCTAAAATGACTTGGACTCAAAACAGACTAAATAAATCGCCAAACTAGCAAACGACTAAGGTGCGTCGCGAACCTACATAAACAACCTCACACTTAGCAGTAAAACGCAATTTGCATTCGCACTGCAACATGATGCAAAGATCATTATGATCCAGAGACCAAAACTCCCAACGACCTTCAGTTTCGCCGAAAAATAAAAGAAAAGAGAAAGAAAGGAAAAAAAGATAATGCTTTGCAGACATGGGTTAAGGGTACCGTACGTGTGAGCACCATCTAATATTGTTCTCAATAAAAGGCACTGAACGTTTTTTGATACTTCAGTCAAGGTACTCCCCTCAAAGTAACCCCAGTTACGGTGGTAATATTTACTAACATTATGACTGTAGACAAGGAATCAATAACTACAAATTTACTTTTTATTACATTTTGTGTAGCTATTGAAAAACTTCGCTTATTTTTAATGGCCAATGAAATTGTCTATCAGAATTACATAGTGAATTATCTTGCAAGGAATGTTGTCATGTTGTCTTGATATTGAAATAACTTTCAAAAATTAATTAATTAATATGTACATTATAAAAATACAATAAAATAGTATGTAGGGGATGGGGGAGAAGTCAATGAATCAACTTTCTCAAATGTCCCCATGACTTTTCTAAAAATCTTGAATTTCATGAACTAATTCACCAAATAAAGCAATGTTCTGTCTTTTAAAACAATGAAATAACATTCAGTATCCATATAGATTTAAGGCACTGTTAGATTTTTATTAACTTTTGTAGTTATAAATTCCGTGGTGTCAGCAGATATATTGTGTAATCCATGATATTAATACAAGATTGAGGAGGTATCAACCACAAAGTATATGTATATTCAATACACTTTGTGGTTGATACCTCCTCAATCTGAATTAATATTTGTAGTTATAGTTTTCTGGCAATGTAAATTTAAATTTAGTATGTACAGATAAAATTAAACAAACATAAACTTATTACAAATATCACTGTTAATAACATAATGAAAAATAATATGTAGTCACAAATTAATACAATTATTTTTCTGTTTTAAACAGGTTATCAGCTGCAACAAAAATATCTGCACTCTTCAAATAACTGACACAACTGGATCTCATCAATTTCCTGCCATGCAGAGATTATCAATCTCAAAGGGTCATGCTTTCATCCTTGTTTATTCAGTGACATCAAAGCAATCTTTAGAAGAACTAAAACCAATATGGGAAGTAATTCGTGAAATGAAGGGAGCTGATTTAGCGACAATTCCAGTCATGTTGGTGGGAAACAAGTGTGATGAAGTGGAAAATCGTGAAGTGGCCGCATCTGAGGGAGAGGCTGAAGCAAATCGCTGGGGATGCAACTTCATGGAGACATCTGCCAAAACTAATCATAATGTAAAAGAGCTTTTCCAAGAATTGCTGAATATGGAGAAAAACAGAAACATCTCATTGGATTTAGGTGGCAAGAAAAGTGGACGACAGAAGATCCCAGGACCAAATAAGTTGAAAGAAAAATGTAGTGTAATGTGAAGAAAATTGATGTCTTCACGTCAAGGAATTTTTGGTTTGTATTGGGAAGTGAAGGTTTTCTTTCTTACAAAGCCAGATTTAAACTTGTTCTTCATTCAAGAGGTAATTATGATTTATCAAATTCATTGCTTTTACACCTGAAGTACAGCAATATAGAGAAAGATTATTTGGATAGCAGAGTATTAGTTCTGGAACCTCTTTGAGCGTTTGAACAAGTTAAGGAAGATGAATATGATAATTAAAATAACTATGTTGAAATTTAAAAGAATTCCAGTAATAAGAACTACTGGAAAATTGAGGCTTTATGAAATATAATTCGTTCCTTTTGTTTTTGAAATTTAGAAGATCTTTCATGGATCTAAGAAGAAATTCATCTTAAAGTTCTGAACTTATTTGAAGAGAAATAATTATAGAACTAAGTGGTCAAATTATATATTTAATTTTACCTGAGAGCTACTTCCAAGTATTGAACTGAAATGTATCCTTAGCACATTGCAAGTTTAAGTAACAGGACCTTTTAGCAATTGTGCTGATCATATCCGCTTATTTTTTCACATTACAAAAAGAAAATTATAATTATAATATGTAAACATGTACTGTGCAAAATGCATTATTTGGTAGATTTCATATATTGATGATCATACAAAAAATTGTATACATAAATCATTTGTAAACAGGAACATACGTGTAAAAAGAGAAGTTCGGTTTGTAAATTCAATATATTCTTTTTCATTGGGTTCTTAAGTCAGATATTGTTTCAATGTCATCAGTGACTGTAGAGAGGGTAGAAGATTAGAAATGAAAGGAATGAAAAAGTAATTTTCTAAGGGTCAGGCTGCATGGTAAGTTTCTTTTCTAATTAACAGATACTATTCTCTTTCTTAATAGCAGATGAAATTTTAAGACGTGATAAAATATGTACATTAATGTTCTTTGACCAATATTAACAATGTTATATGACCTTTGGTTATGAAATGAAGAAGACTCATATGAGCTCATGAATGTACATACTATCGTTATTTGTATTTCTATGTGTACATTATACATGTTTTAGTATGTTCAAACTTGTTTTCTATATGTACAATATTACTTTTAAATTAGAGTAAAATCAACTGGTTTAATAATAGTTTACTTGTATGTTATCTCAATATTTTAGAACAGTAGAGAAATTGGCAAATTGTGTCCATGTTTGGCGTGTTATTTTGTGCAGATTCTCAGAGTATTATCAAATATTAGTGCTCCTGTAGCTTTACTACAATATCCTGCCTATATAGTCCATATTGGTACAATTCATTGTTGCCTCTGCTTTTTATTCTTTATTTTATTTCATGAGCTCTTTTACTCTTATATAGTATTTGATGATACATTGAGTAGTATTTTTCACAGAAGTGTATTTGTTGTTATATAAAAGTTTCATGTTTTTGAAAAGTTGTTTATTAAGATAAAGACCAAGTGAGTTGTAATTTTCATTATTTCTGAATGTACATCATAACATTAGAAAATTTTTGATGATATTATAGACACAATAATATTACATGACCAATGGAGAATCGTGTTCATCGTCACAACGATACAATGTTAGAGCAAATGCATATAAAGGCTTTGTAATTTTTGAATACACAAGTAAATAATTACATTAATTTTTAAATATGGTTAAATTCTTTGCCTCCCATTTATCTGTTATGATATACTACAGAACACGCACAACTATTCTGTAAATCAGGGATGTGTTGATAGTGTCTTGGAGAGCTGTTGCAATTTCTGTTTTGTTCAAAAAATAAAGATATCAATAAATAATAGTATTTTTAATAGGATGTTGTCCCTGAGACTAGCAGCTAGAACCTGTAATTTTCACTTGTTAAAATGGATTATCTTTTTGAAAACTAATTACTTTTTATATTTACCTTCAAACTTTATTCAACTGGTTCTTAAAAAAATCTTTAAAAATTGATGTTTCTAATAATTACAAGATTTAATTTAAATTGAAAATTTGTTTAAAAAGTTAGGTAACTGCAAAGACAAAGAGAACAATTTACAGAAACTATAAATTTTATGCATTTTTCTAATTTTGGTAATTATTTTTATCATGTGATTGAACAATGAAGATTTAATTTTCTTATGTAGGCAAAACTACATTGCCATTGTCATTCATCTATGAACAAAAGTCTACTTTCTTTCTCTTATTTAAAAAGTACACAAATATACCCTCAGCTCTGCTTTAAAATTTTGAATTAGGTACATAAATGCCCAGAAGAGTTTAACTTCTGTACTTGTTAAGTGAAAGAAAAAAGAAGGCAAATTTGCTCACACCATGGCCCATTTCAAGGGAAGGAATTTTTATAATGTGGTAGTGCTTATGTTGGTAGGTTTTACTAAGTTAACTCCATTTTATTATACAAGTTTTCCTGGACAAAAAGAGTAGTAAATCTACAATTCAAGAGTGTTTTAAAAATGCATACATGTATCAGCAAAATTACAATACTTACGAAAGAAATTATATTTTGTAAGAAAATATTCAACACTCAAGTTTTACCTATCTTGTGGATATCACATTATACAACTCATAATTATAAATAATTGGTACAAATAAAATAATCCACTGACAGCAATAAATAAATAAAATTACAAAAAAAAATTGTTCTCATTTATTTGCTGTCAGTTAATATGCTCAATTTATAATTTCAGTTCTAAAAGATGTATATGTTTTTAATAAAATATTATTTCTATTTTGACCAAGTTTTTAGTATTTGGAGTGAAGATTATATTATCCATGCCAGATAACATCAGTAACAACAAGTATTGATTGATTTTGTAATGTTGCTGTTATTGGAATCTGATGGGAAAAAATTGCTGGGTGAAGGGCATTATCAAGCTTTTGAAATAGAGCCTTGAATATTTATGACACAAGAATTCCAAAAAATGGAAATCTGTCTTGAAAGAGAAGCAGGTAAAAATAGTAATTTATGACTCTGTAATGGAAGACCACATGATATAAATAAGGGGAAAAACTGAAGTACAAAACATTAATAGAGATAGTATTTTTTAGATACATAGGAATAGTAAACATTTAAAGCATGTTTTATGATACTAATTCAATAACATTTCTGTAGAATGTCATTTTGATCTCTTCTTTTATGATCTAAACATGACAATGGAATTGAGAAAATTAACTTCATCTACACCATACATTAATAAAAAAAATGATATTTAGAGCATATCATAAAATTCTAAAACTGAAATGAACAAGTAATACTGAACATATGTACTGAAACATATCAAAAGGAAATGAAATCAATTTTCACTTTTCAAAAGTATATTTTTGTTTCTCTGAAATGTTAAAATTATTTGATTCAAATTACCCATAAATATTTTTTCATTTTGGTATACATTTTTAAACACTCTACATTACTTGTAGACAAGAATGTTTGGTAAGGAAAAAGGATATTTCTTTTTTCTATTCTGATGTTGTCTTACATGAAAATTAACAATTTTTTGCTGGAGTTGGATCCAATTTCCAAGATGTGCTTTGAAAGTTTGCAAGAAGCTGCTGAAGTAGATTAATATAAATTGGTTTCAAAACAAATAGCATTTGAAATTTCATATACTAGCTTGAGAGATTAATCAAAGACATAATGCTTATCTATTGCTTGCTGCGGAACCAATATACGAGGTACCATTGCATTAGCCTAAAATAATATTACACCTAATGGTTCATAATACTATATCTCATAACTTAATTTTATTTTAATACAAATACAAGATTTATATAATACACATAAAAGTTCTGTACATAACATAATTAAAAAATACTATGAAATATAACAATTTGAAGCAAACTACAGAAGAAAGAAATTTGTTTCTCTGTTCACATAGCTTACAAGGCTGATGATATGTAATAAATGGAATGGAGTAAATCTTTGAATTGATGTATTTTCCAGAGACATTTTAATGCATTTTTACAATTTTACAATGGACTATAGGATTTATGCAAATAATATTAAATTCAATACAACTATAACATTAATTAAACATATTCTTAAATTATTTGTCATGTATATACACTACGGGCATGTTTTGAAAGAATGCTGTGTAATGAACTATATCAATCTTTCAATTGCAAAAGTTGAGGCAATTTCCACTTCCAGTCCTAAGGTTCGTAGTATAACGTACAATAAAGTAGACTTTTGACAAAGATTTTTGAACAATGTCACTTATACCAAGTTGTCTTAGTACATACTTGTGGTGCTTCCATACAAGGCAAAGCATTTAAGAGTCCAATGAGCCTCACTTTACAATGGTAGTAAGCATGAAAATCATATAATACTAAAAATATATGATTTATTATTTTCAATTTTGAGGTTTGAATAGTACATTCTGTTTGTTTTATGTACTCACATGCTCTTCTCATGTGTAATATAAAAATTAACTAGGAAAATAATGTATTTTTATGAAAACTTACTTGCAGAAAATATTTAAAATATTATTAATCCATATTTAACATTGTTTCTCATGAAAGTGCTCAGTACCTTCCCAGCGTATACCATCATATCACAACTTAGATAGTTATCAATAATGAAGAGCTTATTAATTTGATGGATATAATTAGGAAACTAGGATGTAACTGTGATGAGTGTTATTTTGCTTGTTACCAGTTAGCTATTATTTCAAGTTAAAGATTTCATTTCTCTGAGAATTATTTATACCAAAAGGGTACATAGTAAATAGTTGTTAGTTGTTAACTACACTTACTCACTATACTTAAATGAAGTCCAATGGGATTAATTTTATGATACATATATATTAAAAAGTATTTTATTTCAATTTTGAATAAATTTGTATATTGAAACTCATCAAGTGTTCTATAGAAAGACAATATGAAAATATTGGTGTTCTGCTATTTGCCATATGTCCAGATATACCATTTCAGATAACAAAATACTGCATAACTATAAACATACCTGTGTATATTAAGCTACTCTTCAGAGGTCAAAAATAATACT